TAGGACCATAAACATATTTTACAATGGTGAATTAACAGTAACCATTGCCTAAAATAAATAACTGAAATACAGGTGAAATATGTCACTACGTATCTGTTTGTAGTGCACTAAAGCCCGAATTTACTAAATAATTTTTTAAACACACAGAACCCATTTTAACTCCAGAGCACTCAATTTTTCCCATATAACTTAGGTTACAAAATAATACAATTTATCCAAATAAAAACATGCTGTTAATTATTGTAATCAAACAAGTACAAAAATTGTTGAAAACAAACACCACTCACCCTTTTTTCAGGGTTTAGAATAATTATTATCACTAATAAAAATCTTTATTACCAAACTATCCTTATGAATATCAAAATATGTTTGATGAATATACAATGTACATTCTGCCTTTCTACATATATGAATTGTTAATGAATATGATCTTAAAGAATTGTTTAAAATACCTTAACTGAATTTTATTCAGTAAATTATAATATTCTCTTTTCTCTGGAGCTTGAAATGTTTTGGAGACATACTGAGAAATATCACACTAAAATTTGTGATTTATGCATTCGGGGACTGTGTATTTGAATATTTTACTGATAAAAGTTATATAATGATCTTATGTCTGGTTTCAGTTCCTTGAAGGTATATTTGTTGACTAAGACTGGAAAAGCATTTCCCGTAATGGACTCACAAGGTAATGGAATGTCTTGCTTAGAAAAAGAATTTAACCGTAAACTAATAATGTCTTTTAAAATAGCTACACAAAAGCCAGATTAGAAAAACACAGCTCTCTAAATCCCAGTGCATTAAGGGTATCTTGATCATCTAAAGTAAAACTAAAGGAGTTTTGAAAGGCGAGATCTAGAGGGTAAGCGTTTAGATGTTCTATTCAAGTCTATAACCTTTTCTAAAAATTCTGGCAATGATCAGAATGCAAGTAGAGTAAGAAAACACAGAAACACAATATGATCTCAGATATATATTTCTATTGGTACATACTTCATTTATAAGGAATTATAATTTCAGAGAATAAACAATTACTCTGGTTTTCCTTCTGATCTTCAGTTTCTTATCTACCAAAAATAAGAATTGGCCTAGGTCATCTACACCATCTTTCTTGATTCTCTATATTTGTTTTCAAATGTTAACTTAATTTTATCTCCACAAGGAATAAGTATTCTTAAATATAAATGTGTCAAAAGGTAGATAAGTATTAATATCATAACCTGAAAGAAGAGTTTATCAAAATATATATATCCTTTTATAAAAACATTTAAACTTTTGCCTGCACCACATTTAAATTTGCGAAGAAAAAAAGAGAGAAAGAGAAAGAAAGAAAGACGAGAGAAAGAAAGAAAGACAAGAGAAAGAAAGAGAGGAAGGAAAGAAGGAAGGAAGGAAGGAGAAAAAGAAAAGTAGCCTGCTGCTGTGATTACAGTTTTTATACATCTCACTTATGCAGTTCTAAGATTTTCACTGAGAATCAAGGCAATAAGAGAAAGTACAATAAGTTTGTGATCAATTAAATGTGAAGAGAAATATAAACTTGAGTTTCAAGTAAATGTTTTAAAAATGTGAATGGCTAGTCTGGCATAGTTTTAAACGGTTACTTTCATTTTTTTATCTAATTAAATTTTATGTTCATGTTAGACATCTTTGGCATTCTGTCTCACCCTAAGTACTACATGGTTCTATGAGTGTGATCTAGATTCTTGGAGACTGATTCCACATTAATAATCTGATTAAGTTGGAAAATCTGTCTCTAAATTCCTTTCTATGTCTATAATTGCATAACTATCTGTGGATCTATACATTCAAGTTCTAGTTGAATGTTAGAGACAATGTTAGAGATTATGAAGCTGATTATATAGTTATAATTTTGAACATAAATTGTATCAAAATATCAATCATCTTGGAAAACATCATCTATACATATATACATAGATATGTATGCAGTTTCACCAGTAATTTTATGTAAAGCGTATTAGAGAACTAAATTTCATTTGTCTTTCCAACCAATCCCTATGCAATTCTCAATTGTACCTATAATACACAGAACGGATTCTTCCAAGGATATGAAACTTTCTGGCTACCTCTTGAATGTTTACTGAAAATAAGAGAAAAGAAGCCCGATTTGTATTCAAATACATTACACACCTAACAATTTAATCATTAGCCAAGAGATCCTTCTTGAGGTGATTGCAAATGAACTGCATTTGCTAGTTGTGTCACTAAACTAAACCATCAACTACCTGAGGATTACATATACAGGTTTTCCTCTCAGAGTGCACCACAGTAGCCAAAGTAATAAAGTATGAGGCACAAACATCTATTTCTCTACCTATAGCTTTACCAAAAGTATATTTCTAAGAATTAGAAACAGTTTAAAACCATATCTTATACTCCCGGTTGAAAGTATTTCTCCAAATGAAAACAAATGAAAAATACCCCATGCTATTCTTTTCACAGAAACACTTGTATTCAATCTATTTGAAAGCAACAAAGGAGAAGGATAAATCAATTTTTTAAGAATAAATCAATTTCAATGAAAACATTCAACAGAAAGCAGCTCCAAATCCAAAGTAGAATGGTTCATCAACTATGTGCAAATCCAAAATAAGCTTGAATAACCCGCTATGATGAGAAATATATATATAAAAAAATCAAATAAGTAGAGGATTGTATTCATACAAAAAGCTAGAAATTTTCCTCAAGTAAAGCCTGGGATATAGGTTTGACTCTTTATTACCACTCTCCAGGCAAATGATCCCACTGTACCATTCCCACTGTCAAAAGCCGGAAGCCCATTGTACTTACTCGCCACCTCCAGCGATGCGTTATGGCTCACGGCCTCTCCGAGGTAATTCCTTGCTACACAGACGTAGACCCCTTCATCAGGCCTACTTTTTCGTCCATGTACTATACGTAAGAAAAATAAAGATCCACTTGGCAGCAACATTCGGTGTGAGCGAGGGTCATCTTTGTCTGTCTCCACTCTCTCCCCCCCTTTGTACCATTCGATAGTGGGTGTGGGGCGGCCTTCGGCTTTACAGTTCAAAGTGGCAGGTTCTCCTTTTGACACAATTAGGTCGGAAGGGTGTTCAACAATGCGAGGTGGAAAATCTTCCTGACGAAGACGGGAGCCTGCAGAAGAATTGGCAAAATAGCTTCATATTATCACATGGAAATAATTAAAAGTCTTTTTTCAAAAGCCTAGGTGTAAGCACTGCTATATGAACAGGGCATAATAGTGACCCTGTATTTACTCCCAACCCTATTTACTAATTAATCTTACTGGTGTCCACCTCAAATACACCTTCCAATTCTTGAATCCTTTTGACCCTCCATCTAGAAAGTGCTCTTGCTTAAACTTTGCCTGTACAAATCCTGTCTGCTCTTCAAATCCCTTGTCCACAAAGCCTTTCGGAAGCCTTCACCCTGTCTGTATTTACCATATATGTGCCTGTTTTTGCAGAGGACCGTGACAGAGACTTGTAGAGCGTTACAAATAATAGCATGGCTTCTTAAAATCTCCTTTGTAACTAACATTAATCAACACTTTAAAAAAACCTAGTCTTGGGGCACCTGGGTGGCTCAGTCATTGAGCGTCTGCCTTTGGCTCAGGTCATGATCCCAGAGTTCTGGGATCGAGCCCTGTGTCGGGCTCCCTGCTCCGCAGGAAGCCTGCTTCT